GGTTCAAGACCCAAACCAGCCTCTCAGTGCTCCTGCTGCTTTTAAAATCGTATTTTTAGATACAAATCACAAGTCATGAGATTCCCTTTAGAGTGGTGGTTTCTCAGAGTTGAACTCAGTCCGTGTTAAGACTGGAAGAAGCATCTATGTCTTCTCAAATGTCTAAAAAAAATGGTGAAATCTGCTTCCCACTGCCGCATGGGAAAATAGAAAGATTTTATATTGAAAATGATACAAGCGTTGTACAGTATTTTTAGTTATTGACACTTAGTAGATGAAGACAGGGATTTTCTACAAAGTATGTTCATCTGTCGCCATAGAAACCTGACGCGGGGCGTGGGCAGGTTTCGGGAGATTCTCCGAGCTGTGGAGACCAGAACCACCCAGAACCTTCGAATGGTAAGAAACTTCTCTGGCATGTGTCCAATCTGATGATGCTTTCACCTCCTTCAGGTTTCTCTCCTTCCATTTTAAAGTTATTATCTGTGAAGCCGTTTAACCGGAGGAACTCTTTCCCCATCAGTGTACTAGTGGACTCAACATAACATAAGGATTTGAGTTGATCTTCATAAAATACTTATTTATTGATACAACTTCATATTTACTGACATCAAAGTGGAATCAATCTTATCCTTTTCCTGATAAGTTACTAAATTAGTAAGTTCCCCAAGATTTATAATAATTCTTAAAGGTTAAATGTGTAAGATGAGACTTCATTATCGAGTTCTTAGCAGTAAAAGGAGTTTATGTCTGTGTGCTGTAATCCAGGCTTCTCAGTTTATATTTAGGTGTAGTTTGTGTGAGTGAACTGGAATCGTTTTACGCTTTCTTAACTAAATAATCACATTATTTTGCTAAAATAAAACTTCCAAAAAGAGTGAAACAAGATCAGGGTGGATTTTTTTTTTTGTTTCTGAAGAAGAGAGCCTCACAAACAGCTTGTAGAGCTTAAGGTTTGGTTCAGATTTGGTTGTTTTTGGTTTGTTTTGGGCCTAAAACGTCTGACTGATACGAACATGGCTTTGGTCTATAACATGTGTTTTTTGTGTTCAGACCATTGCCCGACAGCTGGCAGAGATCCTGCTCAGAGGAATGTGTGAACAGAGTTACTGGTCTCCTGTGGAGGACCCGCCCACAGTGTCACCACTGGACGATCCCACACGGCAGGGACACACTCTCAGCAAGAACTACAGCCTGAGCCGCCGTCCGCGGCTCTACTCAGGAGAGAAGTAAGGGACCTCTGGGGAAATCAGTATATGTATTAGGGATGGGACGGTTTCTGAAAACCGTCTGAACCGTTGGGTTCGACTGTTTCGGTTCGGTTGGCGTGTGTTGCGTTCGGTTCATGCGTCTCCTTTTTCTCAGAGGGAAGCGTTTACACTCCAGAGCAGAAGGGGGCGCTACTGCGCCCAAAGCCAACCACCAGTAGGAAACAAGAAGAAGAAGAAGCAGCGTAGCCGATAAAAATCCGACCCAGCAGCAGTTTCTAGGTCTGCTGTATGGACCAGTTTGCATTTAGAGGGAAGCACATGTTGGAATTAGCACTGTTTCCTCT